ATTCCCGCTCACGGCCAACACCAGTGACGATTATCTGAACCGGTCCTGGGCCTCCCCTAGGTCGACTGAGCCTTAAATGCGTACCCGGTGCGATGTGTAAACATCGCCACTGGGGAGACAAAGGCGGTCGGGCGTGGTGCTGGCCACCCACCCCCTCGTGTACCGTTCCGGCCTTCATAGGGGCTACTCACTAACAGCACTTGCCCCTACAGTCTGTTAAGGCTATACGGGGGATCTTTGTCTTTGTGTACGAGGTGAGCGATGGCACAGTGAACGCGACAATCTGAGCTCGATTCCCGGCCATAGCTAACATCGATGGCGACTTGATATCAGCTATCAATTAATACCAGGTGCGTTGTAGAAGACATCAACACGAGAAACACAAAGTTCGGCCCGGTATGGATGTGACCGCACCAGCCACTAGTCTGTATGACTACACGAGGGATCGTGCTCTATCGGTGGTGAGACACAGAGCAGTGGAGAGCTTTAGATTGGGGTTACCCTATGAGTGAAACCAATTAACGCATGAGCCGTGGTTTCTGGAGATCCAAATTCGAAAATGTAGATTTTTTTTAAACGTGTCAAGTATTACAAGCAGACTCATACAAAATTCTCATGTCCCAGGAAAGTTCTTCGTGTGTAGGTGACCAGGTGGATTGCAACATCGCAGCACAGCGGAGCGGCGCTGGCTCAATCCAGTGGTGGATTTATCATGGCTAAGGATGACGCGGATGGTTGATCGACTGGGAATATCTTCACGCCAACTTTTCGCTTCCTAGCCAGTCCACCTTAGGACATCGTTAAACACTAGTCACTCGGTCACGGGCATGTTTACGCGTACAGTCTACAGGTATTGCATTTCTAAGGGGCAGGCGAAGCTCAGGTGCGGGCAGGGTCGTGGGCACAGGTTCAGAATCAGAATCGTTATATAGACTGGAGGAATCCGATGAGCTATGAAGCTCTTTTTTCACAGATGTCCAGCATGGGCGAGTCATGAGCAGGGGCCAGAGCAGGGTCACTTTAGAGTGTCTCAGGATTCTCTGTCGGCCGCGGTGCTGACTAAAGCCTGGCTCGTGGTCAATATCGCCGAGCAGAGGCGCTGTAAAGGGATAAACAAAAAACATAAGTCCGTGAAATATTCTGTCGCGTCACAGCTCCTCGACCCTCAACGTTGCCCCGTCGGACGAGCGCCGAACAGCTGCTGCGACATTCATAGTGGAGCGACGCGCCCAGGCGGATGGGGTCGTGACGAGGCCCCTTTGCCTGCACGGTCACGAATTGGTCACCTATTGGTAATGGCGTTGTCACGAATAGCTCCTGTGTTGGTCGTGTCACGGTCACGTAAAGGTCCCCGTGTATTGGTAATGTTCTGGTCGTATTATGTCGCGTATTGTTTCCGTATCGATCATGCCATTTAGCTCTTGCTTCGGGGCACCCCACCCTGACCTCTCCCTTCAGGCCCCCTCCCCACCCTGACCTCTCCCCCCAGGCCCCGCTCTCCACCCCGATCTGTCACCCCAGCCCCCCCTCACCACCCTGAATTCTCCCCCCAGGCCCCCTCCCCACCCCGATCTGTCACCCCAGGCCCCCGCTCACCACCCTAACTTTTCCCCCCAGGCCCCCTCCCCGCCCAGATTTGTCCCACCACCCCCCCCTTCCCACTCTGACTTTTACCCCAGGCCCCCCCACCCCGATCTGCCCCCCCCAGGCCCCTCCCCACCCCGATCTGTCCCACCCCCAGGCCCCCTCACCGCTAGTCCGCCAATCGCTACCTGGAGGACTCAGATGTAAACCAATCAATCATTTAATTAGCAAAACCACTATTCACGGCCAGTTAATTACCCTCATTAAATCAGGGATTTACTTTAAGGGACTATGAGTGTCGGCGTGAAATGTTGGAGGTGGCTCCGGCAAGGAGTCCAGCCTCCCGCCCCTCCCGCCAGGGCCGCCAGCGGTGCCTCGTGGTATCCACACCACGTGCGGTGTGAATACCACGAGGCACAAACCTGCCAGGAGGGCACTCGCAACTCGTCAATCACCTTCATCCGGCAGCAGATTGACCATGGCTGATGATTACGGTGAATTACCAAGAGTGGTGCAGCACCCCCCCCCCCACCCCCCCCCGACCGCCCTCCTCGCCCCCCACCGCCGCCCCCCAATCCCAAGTCACGACCACTGCAGCCACCACAATTCGATTCTAGGCTGTGGAGGGTTCCGGGTAAAACGCGTAGAAAAGCATAACTCCGTTCTGTCTCGACAAACGTAAAGTATTGACTTAGTCCATCAGCCTATTTAGACTTCCAGACCAATTCTAGAATTGTTTGACCAAGCCAACTCTGAACCGGTTTCAACTTTCTGGGTCTCATCGGCAGTGTCAGGCCTCTTAATTTCCAGATGTATTGCCGTGTGTGCGTGTGTGTGTCAGTGCAGTAGCGGTTAGCGCGCCGAGCTACGAACCCGGCGAAACGAGTTCGATTCTCGCTCACGGCCAAGACCAGTGACAATTATCTGAACCGCTCCTGGGCATCCCCTAGGTCCACTCAGCATCAAATGAGTACTTGTTCCGATGTGTAAACATCGTCACCATAGAATCAAAGGCGGCCAGGCGTGGTGTTGGCCACCAATCCCCTCGTATGCCGTGCCGACCTTTATAGGTGCTTACATATCGCACTTGCCCCAACAATCTGTACGCTATTAGGGGGATCTTTGTAAACAACATTTGACCAGATTTGTTTAAAGACTCTGGGCATGCACGTTTATGGGTGCGTCTTCCTTTCTGGTGCGTCTCATAAATTGGGAGATTACGGTATTGTAAGAGTCTAAATGCCACTGCCAAAAAGCCTGTAACTAGCAACACGGGTGACAGAAATCAGGGGCGAAAAGCTCAAACACAAAATGTTAAGCGCACATTCAACAGAGCGAAGTACACAAACCCAGTTGGCAGGTGGAGGCCAGTGTGCGTGGCGACATCGCGGCACCATCGACTCCACGGTCGCCCATCACCAGGAAGGCGCCCGATATCGTCACATCTCGGAAGCTGAGCAGGGCTGAGCCTGGGTGGTGCTTGAATGGGCGATCACCTCTACCGTGCACGCCAGGTCACCATTTGGCGGCCTCGGGGCGACGTTGTGGACGGCATACGGCAATGCGGCACAATCTATAGTTGCGCAGTACTTCGATTCTTCCACATCTATGCTCTCTCCATCTACCACCAAGCCGCACTGACCAGCGTGAAGTATGGTCTCATCCAGCAGTGGATTGTCATGAAAGGCTTTTGCAGTACATGTATAATAGTGGTCCCATTGCCATGCAAGAGTGAACTCAATGCGGTTCAGTGTGGCCCGATTTTTACCCCATGGTAGGCACACGTGATCAGCATTGGTCATTTACAGCCGCATGGATTTCATCCTCCCACGGCCCCACGCGGCGTAAATCCCTGGAACGCTCTGCCCCCCCTCCCCCACCGGCTGCCTCCTGCTCTAAAGAGGCTCCGCTGCGGTTCCACTCAACCACTTTCACTGAGCGTGCAGTTTCGTCTGAAATAGGGAGAATGCCGGAGGAGTCAGTGAGGGATGACCGGTGCTCGTGACAAGTTTGCCAGTTGGTCAGGTATAGGGTCAGCGAGAGAGGGCCGGTGCTCGTGGCTGGTTGGCCAGTGTGGGTCAGGTTAAGGGTTAGCGAGAGAGGGACGGTGCTCGTGGCTGGTTGGCCAGTGTGGGTCAGGTTAAGGGTCAGCGAGAGAGGGCCGGTGCTAGTGGCTGGTTGGCCAGTGTGGGTCAGGTTTAGGGTGAGCGAGAGAGGGCCGGTGCTCGTGGCTGGTTGGCCAGTGTGGGTTGGGACCAATCCCATTTTGAAGTTGTTGTTTGTAACATTTGGCAGCGTTGCTTCCTTGGCACCAGGTTCCCGATTTACCGAAACGCAATCGGCGCCTTGTGGATTCCCCCCAGAGTTGGTGATCGAGACATCGGCACCGTTTCACGAAAAAAATCTGGCGATAAGGTCTTATCCGGCCAACACCGCGTAAATCCGTCCCCGTGTGTTCACAGCGCGGGTGGGGTGCAGATGCGACTGCTGTTGCTTAGGTGACGGAAGGGGGGGGTGATTGGAGGAAGGGTGTGAGAGTGAGAGGATGTGGGGGGGGGGTGTGAGTGGAGGGAGGGGTGTGAGGTTGAGTAGGGATAAGGGAGTTGACGGTGAGTGGGCGGAGGGGAATGGTGGAGAGTGAGGGGAGGGGTGGGAGGGTGAGTGGGTGGAGGGTACGTTAGGAGGAGGGAGTGAATAGTGAGCGGGAGGTGGTGAGTGGAAAGATGAATGAGGGGAGGGTATGGGAGGGTGAGTGGCGTTGGAGGGTAAGCGGCATGGTGGTGGTGAGTGGTGGTAGGGGTGGGAGGATGAGAAGGTGAGGGAGGAGGCGGTGATGTCAGCCGGCTTCGCATGGAGTTTCCGTCAGACCGAATAACGGCCGCGAGTGGAACGCAAGGTTTGTTATGACTCGTCGCTCTCAGGTTCCCGAGACCCCCTCTCGTCCCCTTATGCCCCCCCCCTAGACCCCTTTGTCCCTCCCCCCGTTCCCCGCTCGTCTGCCCGCGACCCCACTTAGTGCTCGAGCTGCAGGCGGTGCCGGTCGGGATGAGGAGGCGCTGGAGCAGAAGTGACGCCCGGGGTCAGAGACATCAGCCGAGGGCGCGCATCGATCAGCGCGGCCCGACACGCGTCGCTGGGCGGACAAATAGGGCGCCCTGTCGCACCTACACCCAGCCTCCCTTTACACCCAGCCTCCATCGACACCCTGCACCACCTACACACTGCGTCCCCTACACACTGCGTCATACTCTGCGCGGCCTCTCCGGCCAACCCCGTCATTCCCAAGCAGCGCAGGTGTGCCAGTTAACGCGATGCGTGGTGGTGGTGGGATCAGAGTTGTAGATTAACCAGGTGGGCGAGGACTTCCAGGAATGGCGTGTGGGGGGGGGGGGGGTAACTCCGTCTCTCCCTCTCACCTTATGCTGCTTGCAGGTGCCCGCGATGGCGCGGGTGTCGTGCTGGGAGTGCCTGCCGCCATCCCCCAGGCACAAGCGGCACGCAGCCACTCCGCACGCCACGCAGAAGGAGCACGGCGTCTCCGTCTCGTGCTCCACGCACGTGGCCCTGCGGGGCGCCCACTGCTCCACCTGCTGCTGCTGCTGGGCGCTGCCGGAGTTGTCCGGAGCTGCGCCTGCACCGCGCTCCACGGCGACGAGGCGGTGCGTGGCGAGCGGACCCCGCGCCGGGTGGCACCGCGCCCGGCACGCGTCGCAGTAGAACATCCCGCACTGCTCGCACTGGACCGTGGCCTCGGCGGGCGCGCTGCCCTCCTCGCACAGCTGGCACACGGTGCCAGCCGCGCCAACCCCGGGGGGCAGGAGCGGCGCGGCACCCCGCGCCTGCCTCCGGTATCGCTCCACCACCGCCTCGAGGATGGCGTTGCGGGGGCATCCCGCCAGCCCCCTGTCACCCAACACCAGCGAGCGGTGGCACTGCGGGCAGGTGAGGCTGCCCCCCGCGCTGCGCGGGCTGCCCGGGGGGAAAACGCGCACGCCGTTGCTGGGGGGTTTCTGCCCGCACGGCGTGGCAGGGTTGCTCACAAACGAGCCGTAGCCGCTGTCAGTCTCGCTGTACAGACTCAGCTTGTCCAGGTCCACGTAGTCCCCGCAGTCCGAGCCATCGCTCTTGGCAGCCGCCGCGGCCGCCGCTCCCCCCGCTGCCCCGTGCGCGCCCGGGCCGCCCTCGGCGAGCTCGGGGCTGCGCGGCTGGAGGATGGTGCGAGCGCAGGGCAGGCAGGCGCTGTGCGCGCACGGGAGGATCACGGGCTCGCGGTACAGCGCCCCGCACACCGGGCACTTGAGCTCCTCCTCCAGGTTCGCCTGCGGAGCCTTCGCCTCCGCCGCCGCTGCCACCGCAGCGGCCGTCGTGGCTGCTGCCATCGACGACGACGACGACGCTGCTGCTGCTGCTGACGACGACGACGACGATGATGATGGAGATGAGGATGAAGCTGACGCCGCAGCCGCCGTTTTCTCCATGGTAGCGCCGCTGCGGCAGCCGAGGCTAAATCCGAGCAGGCATGGGAGCCTCCTTCCCCGTTGAAGCCGCGTGCAGCGGGCAGATGGGAGCAGGGCGAGGAGGGAGGAGAGGAGCAGGGAGCGCGCTCCGGCCGCTCCTCCGCCTCGATCTGCGCGGAATACTAACGGAGCCGGCACGCACTGATTTATGTCCCGAGAGATTCCCCCTCCCTCCTCCCCTCCCTCCCTCCCTCCCTCCCCCCGCTTCCTCTGTCTCTCGCCCCTCGCTCCCGCCCCCCCCCCTTCTCTCGCCACAAACACCGCGGTGATGTCAGCTCAGAAAGCCGGGCTGTAAAGGGAACGCGCGCACTTCACATCGCCCGCAGGGATGGTGCACAGTGGGGGGGGGGGGGGGGGGGGGGGGGCGGCCGTGTCGCCTTCGGGGGGACGGGAGAACTACTGGAGCCATGGGGGGAGGGGGCTAGCACCCCCTGACGGTGATGACCCCCCCCCCCCCCAGGGCATCGTGTTGGGGTGACACGCCCCCTACCCCACCCCCCTCCCAACCATGCCGCGCGTCACCCGTCCCCGTCGGACGAGCGGTGCCGCCCGCTACTGCGCGGAGTTAAACGCGGGAGGCGCGGGCAGTCATTGATCCAGGCGCGGGCATCGATCGCGACTGATGAGGCACGGGGCCCCCACAGCTGATCCCATCCGCCTCACCTCTCCCCCTCCGGGGCCCTTATCCATACCCCCGTGAACACACGCGTCCACACACACACACGCCAGGGGCCCGGATCCCTCTCTCGCTCCGGGCTCCCGCTCTTGGACCCCGCTGTCTCAATCATTGTCCCGTTTCGTTTATTTCCACCGCCCCGCGTTGCCCATCGCTGTGATGCGGTCTCCATGGTGACAGTCGCGCAGGTAATCGGAGCTTCCCCGGGGTGGGGGGGGGTGGGGAGGGCCGGGTTCACCTGCGCGTCGCCTCTCTCTCTTCCTTGCATTGCCGCCGGCGTTAATTAGAGACGCCTAATTATTCGTGATTGACAGCGCCCCGCCTGACGCACGTGGCCTCGTGCTTGGGGCTGCGCGGTTTGATTCCGGAGTTCGCTCAATAACGCCCAGCTGCCCCTGCGGGGGAAGATAAAGACGGATCAGCCAACTCGGCCTTCTAAATCAATAACTGCCATTCACCACTAAGTGGCGGTGACGTCAACACGACGCTTGTGCCAGGCTAGGTGCACGTTGAGGCCACGTGACGTGTCGAACGCCCGCTGGCACGAGGTTACAGGACAGACCCAGGTGCCACGGGTCGACTGACTGAAATGACTGGCTGATGCACCACCTGTGCCCCCTACTGTGCCAACCTGCTGTGCTTTAGCCACACGGCGCTCCGCTCGTTGTTGTGAGCGTCGCTCCTCCGCCCTCCGTTTTTGTTGGAGGGCGACTGCCTCCAACTGCCCAATAGCGTCCTTCACGAGCCTCCTCCATAGAGGCCGATCTTGACACCGCTGGTACCAGTCATCGGCAAGTCCACTCAGCTCCACGTCCTCCTGTACTACATCACTCCATCTCTTCTCTAGCCCGTGCCGCGCCCGTTTAGCTCCCTCGATCCGGCCGAACAAAAGCTGTTTAGGCATGCGGCAGCTGGGCATGCGGGCTACATGACCCAGCCAACGCAGCCTTGCCTGCCGGAGAAGCTCACCGATGGGACTTTGTCCAGATTTTTCAAGAATTTGTGAGCTCCTCACACAATCCAGCCTGGTTAAACCCAGGATGGATCGTAGGCAGGCCAACCTAAATGTTTATAACCGGCGAAGATGTTCCATTAGAAGGTCCAAATTTTACAAGCATAGAGAAGGGAGGGAATGACTGTGGCCGAGAAGACCTGAAGCTTCGTGCGGAGCGACAGACTAGGTAGCTTCCACACAGCGTTACGCAACCGATGAAAAGATAATGCCGTTCGACTGATTCGGAGTGAGACCTCTGCTGTCAAACCGGAGCCGGTCATGAGCCCAGATATGGGAAACTCTCCACTCTCTCTACAACTACCCTATCACCAATTGGGAATTGTAGGGGTGGAGTGTCCGATGGTACAAAATACCCAGGCAGCTGCTTAGTTTTGGTGGGGCTGATGGTAAGGCCTCACCTCTTAGTGGCAAGCTCCAGGTTCAGCAGCAGCGCCTCCAACTCCTTCTTTGTGCGAGCAGTAATTACCAGATCATCGGCATACATAACATGGTTGAGCAATAGGGAGCCATCCCTTTACCGCACCCGGGCATCGATCAGCCTCCCATTGTATCTGTACCAGATGGAAATTCCCCCGGTACAGCTATTGAAGGCTTCACGAACTACGTGGTCAAAATAGATGTTAATTAATGTGGGATCCAGAGGACATCCCTGTCGCACCCCAAGGTGTACAGAGAATGGCTCCGACTCCCGGCCACGTAGTTTTACACGGGCCCACTCACCATCATGAAAGTCCTTAATGATCGTGAGCAGCGGGTCAGGGACTCCGAAAGCACGAAGAACGACCCATAGCCCAGGCCTACTGATGGTATCATATGCCTTGACCAGGTCAATAAAGCAGAGATGTAAGTCTTGTTGGAATTCCCTAGACCTCTGCTGTAGCAGACGGACAGAAAATATTGCATCTGTGCAGGACGGCCCTTTTCTGAAACCGCATTGGGGCTCCAGTGGTCCAGACTGTTATTATTATGTCATGTAGGGCAGTCTGTGCACAAACGCCACCCTCCCTCAGCATTTCGCTTGGGAGATCATCTCTGCCCAGTGCCTTTCCTGGTCTCAGGAAAAGGGTCTCTGGGTCGCCTTCAGTACTTCCTCAGCAGATGGCACCTCAGCCAGCCACTCACAGGGGGTGACTTCTTCTTCTTCTTCCAATATTTGAGGCACCGCAGCCTCAGCAGGGTCATCCCCACTTTTTCCCACGATGTTTTCCAGGCTGAGGGATTTCCCTTCCCCCAGGACCTGACAGAAATGCTCAGCGAATCTGCAAACCTGTTCCTGGGGGTCGGAGATTTGATCACCGTTCTTTCCCCTAATGATGGTAATAGGTGTGGTTCTGCAGATTACTTTTTTGATGGAGTTAAATAGTGATTTGTGATCGCCGGCCATTGAGGCAGACTCTATCACCTCAGCAACCCGCGACCACCAACCATCCTTGCAGCGCCTCATGGCTCTCCGAACCGCTGAGCGAAGGCTGCGGTAAGCCTCCTCATTCTCTGACGTGGGATACTGTAGACGATGAGAGTGGGCCTGTCGCTTTTTCTCAGCTAGCCTGAACACCTCCTCTGTCAACCAGGGTCTCTGAAGATGTCTGGACCGTGTACTCAAAGCAGCCATTGCAGCTGCTTGAGCCACAGTCCTAAACCTCGTCCATTTCCCCTCGACATCAGGAGGAGTGGGGGACGATGCCAACCCCAGCTGCAAGCGATGATGAAATTCTCGCTTGCAACTTTCATCAGCTAGCTGAGACCATGCCATTATGGGTTTCAATTGGGTCCTGGGTGTACACCCACCACCGGAGTGGAAGAATAGCAGGTGTATCTTACAGATGACAAGTCGATGGTCAGTGGGCAGATCAGCTCCACGGTAGGTCCTGGTGTCAAGGACATGGGCCCGCATACACTGTTCCTATCACTATGTAGTCCAGCAGATGTTCTTGCTTGGACCCGGCATGCATCCATGATGTTGTGTGGATGCGCCGATGCCGGAACAGTGTGTTGGTAATTACAAGCCCGCGGACTGCACAAACATCTATCAGCCTCCTACCGTTGTTATTGAGCTGATCTGGCCCATGTCTTCCAATCACTCCAGACCAGGTGCCAGTATCATGACCAACTCGGACATTGAAGTCACCCAACATGATGACTCTATCCCGAGGGGCCACTTTAGCCAGCACCTGTGACAGGAGGTCATAGAAGGCATCTGACTCATCGGCTTTGCCTGCATCCCCCCACGGATGTTCGTCTTCTGTGGGGGCATAAGTAACCACGACCACCACTCCTCGCCTCTGGTTGATGGGAACGAGAGCCCAAAGTAGCCTGGGATTTACAGCTTCCCACACCTCACCACCACGCTCCCACGCCCCCTTCATTTTTTGTCCAGAAGAAGAGCCACTGTTGTTTGGCAGTCTGCTGCCCCGAGTAGAGGACTGTCCACCCCTCATGGTGGCAGGAGCCAGAGCCGGTCCACCGGACCTCCTGAATACCACAGAGATCCAGGTGGTACCGGTCCAGCTCTCGACAGAGGAGTGGCAGCCTCTCCTCCGCAATGAGCGCTCGAACATTCCACGTGGCCATCCGTAGTGGTTTTTTGTTGTTTCACACACATACACACAACTAAGACAACTACCGCCAGGCATTCTCTATCCGCTACTGAATGTGGGCGATCACGAGTTGCCCGCTCGCGGCCCCCTTCCTCCAGCACTGCCCAACAAACTCCACTTGTTTTTCCTAACTGTGAGGATAATGTCTCGGATGCGTGGCGTATGTCTTTTCAACAACAGACAATGATGATAATTGTGATAATGATGATGGTAGTTATGATGATGATGGTAATAATGATGGTGGTGGGAGTGATGATGATGGTGGTAATGATGATAAGTTATGCCGATGGTGATTATATTAATGATGGATTTGTAGTATGATGATGATGATGGTGGTATTAATGATGCTAAGGGTGATAGTCATGATGATGGTATTGATGAGGAAGGGTTTTATGGTGGTGGTGGTGGTGGTGGTTGTGTGTGAGTGGCGGTGAGGTGGTGAGTGGTAATTAACAGGCTTTAATGAAACGCGGAGATGCTCGCTGCTTGCGTGAGCACCGTCACGCCGAGTCGGGGGTCCCTTTAGCGCCCTAATTGGATCTTGGCCCAAATTTAACCAAAAACGGGGTCCCAAGGGGGCCCCGGGCGCGAGCCGTTCCCCCCCCACCCCCAAAAAAAAAAAACCGGGGGGACGGAGACCACAGCCCGTCCACATCATCACCGTCATCATGACAACGCCGTCACCGTGCTGCATCGCTATACTACATCACCGTCATCATCAGGGCTTCATTTCAGCCGGAGTTCACCGGGGCTGAGCTGCGGAAAATATTTCACGCCTGGCAGGGGCCCCGGAAAATATTGGATGAGAAATGAATCCCTGGCCACCACTATCATCATCATCATCACCACATACAGCATCACCATACAACATCGACATA